TACGGTTTCTCCCTTGAAAACCGTTGTATATGTAAAACCGACCAGAAACGGAAAGGTATTTAGAACCGTTGTTTAGATGCAACCGCCTGGCAACGGCCCGGCAACCGTAAATCCCCCACAGGACACCACAGCTAAGGAAGGAAAGGTCAGCTCCTCCAAGATGCGCCTTTTCCCAATTGGCCCATTCTGATTGGGCAGCCCAATGGTAATGGATTTATCTAAGGTAAGCCTCTCACTGCCCGGTCCTCTGTTTGGGAAATTTGACACTGTCCCAACCCCAGAGGTCAGCGGGGGTGGTCAATTGACCAAACACCTGTGACAGTTAAGGTAGTCAATAAATCCATGAGGCTTTCATCTTGAGGTTGCCGTCCTCAGCCCAACAACGAAACAACCACGACTCGTCCCTGCGTCGGCGATCGGTGCCTGCCTCTGGTTGTCTCTGCCTGATGCAGGAGAAATTGGGAATATGCCAATCGCCGTCGATTTATGCTCAGTTTCCGAATCCACCAACCACCCCTGGCCCTGTCCACAAGAGCCACTCGGCCCACTGCCCTACAGCGCCCTATCCACTAAATCCACTTCTGGCCTCTTGGGCATGTCCACCGGCGCCATCACCGACACATTTGAGCCACGTCGGTCATGTTCAAAACTTGTCCACCGACCACTCTTCATCGAGGACATACCTTAACCACATCTCATCACCACTCTAATACCATCATACACCTCCTCATCAGTAACAGGTTGCCCAAGCTGGATACTCCCCAGAAAGAAGCGCTCCGTGGTTTCCTCCGGTCCATGTCGGCAACTTCCGAAACCACGGCCACGCCAACCGCCACCTCCTCCGCCGCCGGCACCACCAGCATCAACACCAGCACCACCGCAAACACCCACAACACTGCCAACCATCCCGGCAGTCCACTATCACCAACCACAATGGGCTCCCCTTCTTCCCCCTCCGGGCCCTCCCCGTCCTCCTCCTCAGGGAACGTAGACCCTACCCAAGCCGTCGATGGTCTCGTCCGCGCCATGCGCGACCTAACCGCCGACAGCAACTACAAGCTGGTCGCCGACGTGTTCGGCCAGTTCATCATGCTCAAGGAGAAGAACGAGCGGCTGTCCATCTCGCACCGCGAAGTCCTCGACGAGTACCACCGCTACCGCTCCGAGCTGGACGACTGGAAGAAGCGGCTCGACAAGGAAAAGGAAGGGCTCGAGGATGTGATCCAGTCCAAAGTGCAAGAGGTTCTGCACCTGCACGCCATGCGCGCGAGCTTGCAGGGCAATTTGGAGGATAGTGCCAAGAGGGCCGCGGCGGCTGCGGAGAATGCGGAGCGTGAGCTGATGAGGTTGAAGGAGGAGAAGGAGAGGGAGTTGGACGAGTTGAAGAGGGATAAGGAACGGGAGCTAGCGGCCCTCAAGGAGGACAAAGAAAAGGAGTTGGCCGCTCTGAAAGACGATAAAGAGCAGGAGCTGACGAAGCTGAGGGAGGATCAGGCCTATGAGCTTTCTAAGCTCAGGGATGACATGGGGACCGAGTTGAGCGATATGAAGTCCCTTAGGGGGATGCAGATCTCGGAACTCGAAGCCGCCAAGGCAGCGCTTGAAAAGTCCAAGGAAGAGCTGGAGGCAGCAGCGGCCCAGGCTGCACAAGCCGCGGCCGAGGAGATTGCGGCACTATCAAACGCCAAGACACTTCTCGAGGACTGGAAAGCGCAAGCCGAAGCCAAACTTGCATCGCTACAAGAATCCAAGACCAATTTAGAAGCCGACAAAACGAAGAACGAAGCCGAGATCGTCTCGCTCAAGGAGAATGTCGCCACGCTAGACGCTCAGTTCAAGGCAGTCGACGAGGCCCTTACAGCCACCAAAGCCGAGTTCGAGTCCCTCAAGACCATAGAAGCTGAAAAGACATCTGAGATCGAGAGGCTTAAGACGTCACTAAAGGCCGCTGAGGAGGAGATCGTCTCCCTCAAACAGGCGGTTGCCGAGAAGACTGCTGAGATCGAGGCCCTGCGTAACAAACTCAATGCCGAGACGAGTCGAGCAGACACGGCCGAGGCCCGGTCCGAAGACCTCCAGAGCCGCCTTGACGAGACCGAGGACAACCTTCAAACTGCGGAGGAGAAGCTGGATATCTTGGCGTCGTACCAGACCAAGCTTCATGCTGATAGCGAGGACGTGTAGTGAGTTCCCTTTCCTTCGATTGCCCTTTTTCCTACCTCGCTAACCCCATGCCTAGCGTCGACATCCTCGACAAAATCTGGACCTCCATCGTCACCCTCGTCGAATCCACCTTCCGCCCCTCCCTCCCCGAGCCCATTCTCTCCGACCCCTCCTGCTGGGCCAACCTCCGCAACTCGCCCTACCTCAAACATGCCACCCAGCTGCAGATCCCTCTACCGCAATCGAACTCCCCAGCAGCCAAAGGAATGCGCATCTCCGCCGTCCTCGCCGTGCTCTCCCGCGCTTTACACCGCCACCTCTTCCGACCCGTCTACCTCCTCGACGACGACGACGAAAACCTCGTCAAGTTCCTGCGCGTCCTGGAAGACGAGAACCCCGCTCGCGAGCTCCATCTCCGCTCAACCTTGCTAGCCACCATGCCCGAGCGCCAAATCGAGCAAGGCGCACGAAGAGTCGAGACAGTAGTGAGGGAAGTCTCGTGGCTCGTCCAACACTTGCTTTCGGCACTAGCTTTTGAGTCGTTCGTCTCGGGCCTCGAACAAGCCTGCAAGCTCGCCTGCGAGCAATGGATGCGGATCCAGCTTGCCACGATGAAAATCGAGCCGTACTTTGGACCTCCCTACGACGATTTTGACTGGCAAGTCCTTGACCTGCCGGAATTCGTCAGCCCCACCACACAACAACAACAACAACGGCCCTTCTCAGTGACGTTAACAGACGGTGGCGACGGCGACGACGGCACATCCACCATCGGAGCCGGCGCCCCGTTGACTAGTACCACCCCCGGTCCAGACTCTCACTCAGACGGCAAGCAGCTCCTCCAACCTGGCGGCGGCGGGCACAACCTATCCCACACCCACTCGCACTCGCACCTGCACAACAACCACGATGACCCACAAAACTCGGAGACCCCCCAAGAAGAAGAAATTGACCCGGATGACATCCTCCTCGTGGTCTGGCCATCCATGTGCTCCGTCGAAGACGGCGACATCATGAGCATAACTCAAGGTCTCGTCATCTCCAAGGAACAAGCGCGTCCGGCGTTGGAGGAGGTGAGGAGGTCCAAGTCGGGGATTAACCGAGATGGAAGTTTGAATAGTAGCAATAATGGAGCGCCGGGGATGCCGATGAGACCCGGGTCTACGACGAGGAGGGCCACGACGAGGGGGATGAGTATTGCGGCGGAGGAGAGGGAGAGGAGGGGGGAGAGTAGGAGTCCCGTGACGAGTAGGAGGAAGAGCTTTTTTGGGATGGTGGGCGGTGATAAGGAGAGTAAAGAGGCAAAGGGTGAGGTTCATGTTGGTGGGGAGGAGTGACGATCTTGATGCGAAAGAAAGAAACTTGTTGTGGATGAAGTTACGGTGGTGATGATTGATATGTTGGATGCAATGATTGGAAACAGACATGGGACATGGAATATGATGTGATGACAGCTAGACATGAATGATATTGGGACTTTGAAACGGGATACGAATTAGGATGATATGAACGTCTAGTCTAGTCTTGGGTTAGCGTTGGGTTCTTCTCTTTATGTTTGGTCCTTGTCTTGCCTTTGGCCAGTCAGAGTATGTCGCTTGAAAGTTGAGAGTGGTCTACCTACAGGTATTCTAGTGTGGTACCATGGTAACTGAAAGTACCTTACCTACCTAGAGGTAATCGAGGGAACCTACCTTAATGAGAAGTAACTGCCCGTCTTGCTGCTTTACACTATTAGTACCGTAAGGTACCTACCCCGGCTTTCTAGTGGAGGTAACCTGCCACATCCTCCCTGTTGCTGGCTTGCCAACTTCCAACTACCTACCTAGCAAGATCAAAAATCCAACACACGGAAATATATATATGAGTTGGTTCCTGAACACCCAAAATGTGCCCGGTTGAGGTGGTCTGGTCAAGTTTAAAACCGGCCGCCAGAACAGCGAGCGAGCGAGGTCCTTGCTCATTCATGATCCGGTGGCCGGTGCACACCCCCCCTGACCCGATATGTTGATTAAGGTAGAGGTACCTACAAGGTAGAATAGCAAACCAAGCCAAGGTACCTGAGCTAGGTAGTAGGTAGGACGGTAGGTAGACAACCACAGTTCTTAGCTTACCTCTACCTTATCGTGCTGGCTTCCATGATGTTGTTTATTCCCGACCCTACTTCATCGCTTTTTTACGCCTCTCAATAGCTCTATATCTGTCTGGTGCAAGAACACACACTCCGCAGTGCTAAGTGCCCTGATGTGGTCAGCGTCCGGCCTCTGAATAATAATAAGATATGCGGCTGTTGTAGGTCTGTTGATCCATTACTGACGCCGCCGATCATATTGCCCAGGGCCAGGACACGTACACGTAGCCAGGGGCAAGAAATCCTTGTCTGCCGCTCGGTAACGGGTAGTTGGTCGCAGTGGCGCATCTCTGCAAGGAGTCTGGGTCAATGTAACACAGTTAAGCCAAGGCTGTATTGCTGTTGTTGTGTGACGTTCGGAACTGGTGCCCCTCAACGAGAATAACAAACAGTACTATAACGTCAGGCTGCTACGATGCGGGATTGCGGGGGTCTGGGACACTGCGTAACGGGCAATGAGTTAGTGGGCAGTGTATGGGTGTTACCTAGCTCGAGATGCTATGGTGATCTTTGATTGAGGAATTCATATCTCTGTAGGTAGTGCTCGATAGCAGAATACCTTATGGAATGGAATGCAAGGAGAATGGCGGCGACCAAGTGATGAGTGCTGAAGCGTTCGTTTACTTTAAAGCGCAGCCAAACTCGGCGCAACGTACATCGCGGTATATGTATTAGGTCCTTCTCCCGTTAATTCAACAACAGCCAAAAAGTGCGGTTGGCGCAGTGGTCAACGCGTTCGCTCCCTAAACAAGGTGTGGCAGCCCTTCCGGTGCCGAAAACGGCGCTGACTTGTACCTATAATGCTAAAATGGCACATATAGACCGAGTCTGGGGGATCACAGCTAGGGAAACAGCGAAAGGCCTGGGTTCGACTCCCAGACCGCACAATCTTTTTTTCTTTTTCTCGTTTTTCCATATTTTTTTCTTTTTTTCTTCCTTTTCATTTCGGTCCGAGCTTGTCGTCAACTCGTTATGGGGGCTTCCTCTTTATTTTCAGATAAAGCAAGCTTGACGCAGAGAGAGAAGCGTTGGGATTGAGAATAAGGGAATCAGAATGGTTGGTGGTAGCAAAACATGGTGTTTTGATAGATCTATGAAGAAGTCGGCACGGAGAAAAGATCCTAAGCGCTCACTCGAGAGACATCTATCTCGTACTTAGGTAAGGTAGTCTTCCACCGCACCATGATGCTCTCACGTCCATGTTTCCGACACTTCTCTATAGAAGCACTTGCTGCAGAGATGTTGACGGTGATATGAAGAACCAGGCAGCGAGCCAACATCGCCCTGAATATCACCATCCCACCCTCACTGCCCTCCGGACAGCTACAGACACACCAAGCCATCTGCAACAGTCGCTGAGCCGCTCGCCGCCCACACCTCCGCATGTTATATATTGCTCTCTCTTAGTAGATACCCTCGCCAAGCGACCGTCGCCCCCATTGTGTACAATACTCGCTTCCCCACCTGGATGCTGTGGAACATCATCATGGCCGAGCAGCATAGCCAGGCAGCGCCAGGGTAGCACTGACCCAGACCCGGCGAAGAGGCAGAGGAACCAACGAAATTGCGATACTATCGCGGCTTTACAGGAGCATGATAGTGCCAAGTGTAAACAGATGGCGATGCCATGAGGCACTTGCCTCTCTTCGTCCATCAATGCCTTTAATCAAGGGTAATCACCACACTATACTGGCAAAGAAAGACAATGATAACTTGACGGCATAAGAAAATACCCGAAATCCATCCACACATCTACCGTTGCACCACTAAGCCCAATCCCTCAGTACCTGCACGCCTAGTGCCCGCATCTGCACAAGAGACGGTAGCCGAAGGATGCCGAAAGGACCAACAACACTTGTTGAAGAAACGAGGAGCCAATGGGCGTGGCGCGGAAGAACTCCAAAACAGGTCATGTGTTTATGCGGCGCAGACACCTGTGGATGCTGACCATGGCTCAGGAAGGATTCGAGTTTGTCGCTGCGTTTTTGATTAAGGAACGGTCGAGTTTCGATCGACGCGTCGCCTGTCGAAGGCAGTCGGAGCGAGGAAAAGTGCTTGATATTGATTCTTGCGATCGGGTATTTGTTTGGTGGTTTCGACGAGGTATAAATCGTCGGACCGACGTCGAGGCGTTTCATGGTTTTATTGTGCCTGGTCATGCCGTTTCGTGTCTGGGTGCCCTTTCTGCGCCGCTGCGTTTCGGTGGCTGACGGGACCATGGGGCCAATGGCGAGGTCGAATTGTTTTGTCATGGCGATTTCTTTATTGTAGGCTCGCGAGCTGGCGTCAACAAGACCGCTCGAGGGATGTGTCTCGAATCTTGATGGCTCGAGGGGCCGGATTTCTGACAACCAAAAACATCAGTGAAAGCCGAAAGAGCATGGCATTGCTGACGGAGCTTTGAAGGGAGAACCGCAGGCATTCCAGAGCATTCAAGTTGAATGCCATGCCGTCATGTCAACACTCGCACTTCCCGGCCAGACGGCTTGGCTTTTGTACCGTAGGGTTGGAAGCCGAGGCCCTCTGCCCTGGCCTTGTTTGTTGGGCGGCCTGCCACTGACGGATTGACGGGTGCTGTGCTGCATGATGTTACTGTACATCTACCCGCTGGGCAGCCGATCGATTGTCGATCTTGTTGTTTAGTTTTCTTTCCGAAACCTAATCTGTCGGGTCCCGAGTTTGGTGTCATTCGAGATGGTGATGTTTCTGGAGGTTTGGTACGGCGTAGTAATCCTTTGATCCAGATTCACCTGAGATTGTTTGTCGAGAGCAAAACGGTCGGTGATACTGGTGTGTGTAACACATGGTCGGGGTCGAGGAGACAAGATGGTGGAGGTCAGCAATGTTGGCTATTGGGAATGTTGGACAACAGGAAACATTCCCGTGGCTGAACTGTCAAAAATAAGCCGCTGCCGACATTGTTGTTTGGTACGGACGAAGCGGGTTGGCTGGCATGGTTCACGACAGGAACAGAGCCAGGTTTGAAGTTCCCTTCGAGAATGTGGTGTCGAGGCGGGACTCCCGTCCTGGAATCTTCGGCCGCAGGAAAGAAGAGGGTGTGGTGCACTAACAGCTGCTAACAATTTCGTGGCGGAGTTGGTTGCACACGGGACCGTTGTTGCTCGCTGGGGGCTTGTTGGGCTTGTTCTCGGTCCGCCTGGCTCCCCACATTTTTTACAGGGGCAGCTCACTAGGTCTAGTGTACAACTTTGGGGTAGGAGCACTAGCTTGCAGGAGCAGGGGTGTTTGCTAGGATAGACCTGCACAGATGACGAGCGCACACCATTGAGTGGGCCATCCGAACTGGGAAAGTGTGTGTAAGAAGAGTTCTCTTTCGTTTCTCGGACCTCTTAAACCCAAGAATTTTCCCTCCACCCGTCTGTGGTTTGCACCATTCCATCATTGCGCGACTCCATCTGTCCGTCATTCTTCTCGCTCTGCTTACATTGTCAGCAGAGTTCCTGTCAGTTTCCAGTACTTAGGTGTGTCTGACAGGCCGCCACTCTTGCTTGCTCTTTACGCTCGTCGTCGAGGTCGACTTCGACTTGCCACTCTCGTCGCCCAACAAAAGAGCTCTCTGAGTCGCTACCTCAAAACTCGCCTCCGAAAACCAAAACCACAACCAAATCATCACCACCTCCCACATCAAAATGGGCTGCCTACGACTCTTCCGTCGCCTACGCCGGCGCTCCTCCAAGCAAGACGACGACGCCCTCCTCACCTCGCAACAAGGTCTTGGCCCGCATCCCTACCGCGACCACGAATCCAAGCATCAGCACTCTCCCTCAGCGGACTCATCCTTCTCCACCGACTTCGCCGAAAAGGTCTCGTACTCGGAGAAACCTCGCTACCGCGGCAGTTCACGCACCGGCTCGGTTGCTGTGCCCGTCATCCGTCCCAACGTCAACCCTGCTTATTCGGCCTATGCTACGCCCGAGGTTTACCGCTATGGAGGCGCGGGGCCGCGGGATGATGCCTATGCTAGGGCGAGGGCAGCAGCGGCGGGTGTGAATGCGCAGAAGAAGGAGGTGGATGTTGACAGCCCGGAGGAGAAGGAGCAGGAGCGGATGGACTTTTTGCAGATGATGTGAACATGACATGGGTGCAAGGAGCAGGATCTCATTTGAAAACATGTTGTTTGTTTGTATCACGACATTTTGATGGCGGTTAGGGATCCATGGAGTCACGGTTTGGGACACAGGACAGCAACGTGAAGGCAATGAATGGCTGGGAGTTCATGGCGTTCTGGGGCGCATCAAAAATGGCATTATCATGGCCGATATGGCCTGGGTTTGGCTTGTTGGTTTGGGAGGTTACTTCCATGTTACGATTACTAGGTACTTGTGCTAGGGCATGTCACGGATTCGCATCTGCAGCGACGGCGACGAAGACGAGGAACTTGTCGATACCGATCTTGACACGCAAAATCCACAGCCGCCGTTATGTTGTTTTGACAGCGGCGCTTCTTCCACATTCCGTTTTTCCCTGCTTTGCCATTTCTGCACTCGATGACTTGCATGTCTTGCATGTCTTGCATGTTTTGCATTTCTAATTGCTTGTTGCATCTCGGCGGCCTGGCGGGGCACATGGAATTTGAAACCACGGCAGAAACAGCACACCAACAAACACAGCCCCCATTGATTGGGTTTGCAAGGCAAGCATCCGAGACACAGCTACAACCAATCCGTCATTCCATCGCTGATAAAACGACACATTTTGTCCTTCACAACCCAGAAAGTGTTGTCTACATATGCACTTTTGGGGAAAGATTCAGCTTCCATGTTTTACTGCGCCATGACACTGCAGCGCTTTCACAATGCCCTTTCAGCAAGCCGCGCGCGGCATTGGCATCGTCCTCGGTAGGGCCGATTGGAATTCAATCATCCAAGGTCGACGTCATGTTTCAAAAAACCGGCCATGCCCAGCCAAGCCGCAAAGCCACAAAGCCACAGGCCCAGTGTTTTGGATTTGGAGGCCCAGAGGCCACTTGATGACATGGACTGGCGTCAAGCCGACATCAAATCTGGTCAGATGCGATGAACGGCCAACCAACGATGGCGGCAGGGTATCACAGGTATTTTGAAGAAAGGATGAAGACCTACCTATCAGGGTCTATTAGTCGTGCTCGTGGCTATTGTGGCAAAAACACGCGTGGCTTTTCTGGGGCTGTACAATACAGCACGGCAATTGATGGTTGATCCAAGACGATCAGGGCGATCAATCAGGGGTCAACCTACCTAATTGATGTCGACGTCAACACTTCTATCACCTGCTGTTACTGTTACTGTTACTGTTAGGTTGGTATGTCCTAACAACAACCATCAACATCTCCGACCTCTTCACGTACCCAACCAGCTAATCTCCCCTTTCGCGCCTCCTTCCCGTTTTCTTTCAGGGATTTCCAAGCTTCGGTCAGGGATTTCCTTTGAGTCTAGCGGATGTGTTTACCGAAAGGCTAGCGACCTGTTAGGTTCCTTTTAGGTTACCTTTTAGGCTCGCCCAGGCCTGCAGTGCCCTGCAGGTTGCGGGGAAACGGGTAAGAGTCTCGAAGAGATCAGCATGGGGTCTGGATTGGTCCATCGAGACAGGGGACGGGAGGATTTCGGCATGTTGGCTGCCGCCGACTTGCATTGTTTCGACATGTTGAACATTGACGTCGACGATGGAGGAAAACATCAAGACATCAAAAACAACAATCCGCCTTGCTGCTCCCCGTTCGGGCTCGGCTAACAACCAGGCGAAATTCCAGGCTCCCCAGGCTCCCCAGCCTCCCCAGCCTCCGGCCCCGGCTCCCGACCCCGACCCCGGACCCCCGGTCCAATTCAATGTCTCCACCGGCGTTCGCGGCCCGGCGCCTTGGCATGAATGGAACCAGCCGCTAAACCCA